CATAGAAGAAAGAAGAGAATTAATGCCTTTTAGTCTTGTTGATCGATCAAGTCGAAGAGTTGGTCCCCGATGCCGAAACCGAGCATCCTGGCCATGTCGCTAGTCTTGAGCCTAGGCTTTGGGACGCCGTGTCGTTTAAGCCATGGATAAACCACAAACACTTTGGTCATCACGAACAGCTCTAACGCCTCCGGGTTGAAAACAACGCCCATCCTCAAGCTCATCTGGTGCGGGACCAACATTGCCGCGTAACGAGCCAACTCTCCTGCTCGCCAGTCAAGCAGAACAGGAAGCCAAGGGTACATGGCATCTAGCCTCACGAACCACAGTCTTATGTCCGGGTATTCCGACAGTTCTCTCGGATCTCCAGGGTCTTCTCTCCTGTAGTTTATCGTGAAGCCAATGCTTCGATCCAAATAGCCTTTTGGTTCAGCTACACAAATCAGACAAACCACATCTTCGAATAGGATATCAATCCAAGTCTCACATCCCAAGTTTAGACAGAATATATAAGTAACGACCAACTCTGATTAAGTACGAAGCAATATCTCTCTCTCTCTCGTCTTTTACCTGAGGAAGGTGAGGTTATGCCGGTTGCGGTCTGAAACGGGGACAAGTCAAGCCGTCCGATTGAGTCGTTGTCGATCACTACTTCGTACCGGCCGCTCGTCGGAGGCATCGGAGGTTCCACTTTATCTCTATCTGCTCCTTTCACAACACACTTCTCATTCAGTCTTGGTTTTGTTTTCCAACAATACAAAAGGAAGAGCAAGTAGTGCTAGTACGTACCGTCGTCAGCTTCGAAGGCAGAGATATCGAAATTCCCAGAAGGATTGAAGGCGACGGAGACAGCTACATCCTCTCCTCTTCTCTTTCTCACACACCACACGCCGGAGCCCATCTCCGACGACGGCAGATGAAGAGCTGGAAACAGAGCCGTGTGTCTCGGCGATGGGAAAAGCGCCGGGAGAAGAGCCGCCTTTGTCACGGCGGCGGCGGCCATAGACGGTTCGGAATAA